AGAGAGAAAGAGAGATTTGAGGATAAAGTAACACCTAGGTACCGGAAAGAAGATACCTCATTGGGAAGAATATCCAAAGGCTCAGGAATGGGAAAGGGTCGCAGTCGAAACACACACTGTACTGATTTCTGATTGTTGAGTAGGAGTCCATTATTCGAAGACCATGCGGAGACGTGGTCTAAGCCATCCTTTAAAGACTGTAGGTGAGTCAGGTTTTTGAGTGAGTGGCCTACGACCATGTCATCGGCATACTTAACATACAGGCAGTCGTTTGGCGATCTCAAATCATCAGTATGTAGGGAGAAAAGATGAGGGGATAAGATAGAACCTTGTAGAACTCCACAATTGTTTGGAAGAATAGAAGATTTTCTCCTTCCCGACTGGACAAACTGAGTGCGGGAGGAAAAATAATCTCTAAGCCAAGAGACAACCCAGCTCGGAGTGTCGCACGCAGCTGCTTTGGTCAAAGCTGAATGAACAACTAAAGCAACAGCATCCAAGGTGCTACGCTTTGCCTTGTATGCAAATTGTAGAGGATCAGAAAAATTGACGGAGGAGGACTTAAGGGAATTTAATGCAACTCGCTCAGTAAGTTTCAGGAGTGCAGAAGAGCAGGCAATAGGACGGAAAGATTTAGGAGCAAAAGTTAAAGATTTTTTAGGGATTGGAGTAATTCTTACTGTGCGCCAGGCGTCAGGAATCTTGGACTCTATGAAGGATAGATTAATAAGGTGGGTCAAGACGGGAGCTATCTGCGAACAGCAAGACTTAAGGAGAAAAGGAGAGACACCGTACGGCCCAGCCGCCGTTGACCCGCGAATCTTTTTGAGATGGTGTTCCACTGTTGTCACAGTCACAGGAGTGAAGTCACATGGTGGTAGGTAAATTTCGTTTGGGCGAGAAGTGGAGTCGTTAGAAGTACAGATAAAATTCCGATTTAAAGAGTTTAAATCTACGTCAATGGGTTCAAGTATATTACGTTGACCAGTGAGACGCTTGAGATTCCTCCTGGTCTTCGAGGAATTTTTGAATTTGCTGACACGCCCAAACTCCGAGGTCACCAGTTTAAATGGCACACTCAACAGGCAAGGCTGGATGTGCGGAAGTTCTCCTTCTCTGTTCGAGTGGTCAAACCATGAAATGCTCTTGCTGCAGATGTTCTGATGTCATCATCTGGCAAAGCCTTAAAAAGAACTTCGACCTATTTATATTCCGAAATGACCAAGAACGTCCTACAATTATAGGCTATTTTGAACTATTACAGTCCAGAAACGTCTTCCGTACACAACACATTTTTACTTTGCGAATAGGGTGCTCAAATACTTACGCCTATTTCCCTTAATAAACTGAACTAAACTGAAATCCTGTAGACAACAATTGTGATGATAGTGTTGTCATTCAATAAAATTCATTCCACATTGTAAAATATTCTAAACAGACTATTATTTTTTTCAGAAAACCTGAGGACGAGAAGGAAACTTCTTAAAAGTTCTTACTGTGCAGGGATACTTACTAGGAGACCTCACCACCTGAGGCGTTATATAAACCAGTAATGGGGGAGTAGGGTCTCATCCTGTGCACTAGTTAAGAAGCACTGTATGTCTACGCTGTATGTCCGCAAATGACAGCACAGACATTTCTGGAAATGTAAAGCATAACCTACTCGCAGTCGCTTATCCCAGGCGTTCTGCTATATTTTTGGTCATGCTATACCTTTTATTTTCCCTGTTTACTTTCAAACTATGACTACAGGGAAGATCCCGGGGTCGCTCAAAAGTAAACAACACTAAGAGATTTTCCGGTCTTATAGCAACAGAACAGAGACATTACCTGTTGGGCGTGAGGAAGTATGTTCTCTAAGGCATCGCCGCTTGATTTAATGTTTCCGTCCCACATCGACTAGGAAAGGCGCGCCTTTCGAGTTTGTTTATAGTTGATGGTTTGTTTTGTTACGGAAGGCCTTAGGGGATTGTTGTCATGTATATGACTTAATTTCAATTTAACTCTTCAAAGAATGGAAAATTTTGTTCTTTATGATGAAATTGCTGTCTCCGAAGGGCAGACAATTTATAAGGCAAGAAGGAAAGGCACAATCTCATTTTTGGCGATTTCTTCTATTGACAAGCGAAAGCGGGCGTATGTTACGAATCATGTACGATTCGCACACGAATTCAATCATCAAAATATACTTCGCTTTTATGAATGGTACGAAACGAGCAATCACTTGTGGGTTGTGATGGATTTGTGTACCGGTGGAACGCTCGAGAACGTCTTACGTGAGGACAAGATGCTTCCAGAAGAGGCCATTATTCGTTTCGGTCGACAACTTGTCCAAGGGCTTAGTTTTATGCACTTATCTGGCGCAATTTTTGCAGACTGGTGTCCACGGAGGGTTTGTTTTCTTTTATGGTTATCATAATGATCATTTAAAGATATTCTTGGATGGTGAGGGCAACATAAAGTACTATGACTTTTCTTATGCCCGAATGGAAAACGAATGTGGTCAGAAATTCCTTAATCGGTTTTCTGACGAAAACGATGAGCCAGACTCCGGATACGACGGACTTTCCGACGCTGCACTTCCATATATTGCTCCGGAAGTGTTATCAGGACAGCCCACTTCGAAAGCATCAGATGTTTGGGGACTTGGCTGCCTTTTGTATCAGATGTTTGCTGGGTCAACGCCTTATGCAAGTCAGGTTCCCTCACATGTATGTCAGGGTTCTTTATTACGCAATATTCTTAGTTGTTCTTTCAACCTCCTGAATACTTTATCAAAGCTGAAAGCAATACCACCTAGGGAAAGAACTTACTCTGTCTGTTTTTATAAAAAGAATTTTGGGTTTTAAGGACCCGTATCTACTTTTTTCTGCATTTATTGTTTTTGGAATTCCTTTCTTCTTACAAGTGTCATTTTTAATTTTGTCAATTCTTTTATATTAACACTTTTGGAGGATCTACGTCATTTAAGTAATGACTATTTCCTCATTGTCATATATATATATGTTCACCTAACGGCCACACACCTGCATCTGAACTGATATGTAAAGACTGTAAGGTACTGAAACTGATTACCGTAACTTATCTCCACGGGGTCCTTACGATAATTGCGTTCGATAGTTGTTCGAAAAGCTCCTTTCTCTCGCTCCCCTAATCGCCAACAGACGTTTGAAAATTTGCATTCGGATTTGGACATCTGCAGTTTGCGATGATATGGCAGTACAGTACACAAACCTGTTAAATGGATTATGTGGTCAAGTTTTTTTACTTTGCGCCTCTACTGCTTCTTACGCTGTTTGTTCTAAAGTAAACCTTATTAAATGCAGGTCGGCTGTGGTTATTCAGAGTGCCAATATAAACTTAGCTTGCTAACCTCGGTATTATTAACGCCTAATGTAGACTCATTCCGCACTTTTTGATGCATTTTTTCTACCACTAGAAGTCAACATAGTTACCAGATTCCCAGTTATCATCAAACTGGTCATCCTTTCGCCTTTCATGACAGGCTGTATTTTAGCAAAATATCCCGTCGGTTTAACTTTATCATGCTATAAGAAACCATGATCTCATTTAATAAAATATGATAAAAAAATTTCCCCCAGTCTAGGGCTTTCGCTTAGCGCCTCAAAATAGAATTAATCACTGTAGCATCAAGTGGCTACGCTGGCACATCTAGTCTGGACATTCTCTGTCAGACAGAGTTAGTCCAATAGATATTTGCCGCGATCTCCGTTGGCTGAATCAAGTGCTTCATTCGTTTGTCAGTCGCCTGTATTATCGGACTTAACATTGTCCAGTCAGTTTTGATTGCGGAGGGCAATTTTCTTCAGCAAAACAGCGTCTTTATCTGAACAGCTAAATATCACGTTTACTTATCATTTGTTCTCATCAACTTGATGCCTACCGGCAACTTTTTGTTTCGTTCTCCCTATTGTCGAGGACTCCTGTCGCATTCTTAAACTTTCTATTTTAAGCACTGTGCCTTCTCATAGTGGAACCAGATTCTCCCTATTGATTGCTCTCATTGTCTTATGTAATCTTGTGATTTAGGTGACTAATGCAATGTGCCAAATTTTTAGCTCATCCAAATGATTCTGAACAACGAACTGCGTCTCTTAACTCAATTCGCTCGCCAGCCTAGTGCGGCCTTGTGGCACCTTCTTAGCTCAATGCTCACGAAGGACCCGGCCCGAAGAATGACTCTGGCGGAAGTCTTGGACCACACATTTTGGCTTGGATCTAAGGCGACCACTCCCGAAGGCACGAATATTAGCCAAGACAGCAGATTCGATGTTGCTTCAGTAACCGGCTCAGAAGTGGTGGGTTCTCGTATTTATTGAATATCTACATGCAGTCATCCAAACTCAAAGTGACATGTCTCCTTAACGCCTTCCTCAGTGTATTCAATAAAACTGGCATTCTGACAATGCCAATCTGGTATATGGCCTTTTTTCTCATGCCTTTTGCTCCGTATCCGATGGCGTCTGCGTCGTCATTAGCATAAGTTTTTATTTTAAAGCTTGAGGCGTCTTCTTATCAGCCAAGCGAGTCTCTTACGAAAGGAGACCAAGCCATACTAACGATGACATAAATTGCCTGTCTTTATGTTCTTTCGATATCTGACCAATTGACAAAATCCAATCTTTTACCAAACATTGTTCAGATATATTTATTTACGCCCTATAGCCACATTTTACATGAAAAACGTGCTTGAGTTAATTAACGACACTTCCACTGCTCTTATCATGCTGGACGTTTTGAGGACTATTGATCTACATTTCTAATTTCTCCGAAATCTTGTCAAACATGATGTTGAATGACCCATTCGTCCAACCTACTTAGACCAAGCTTTTGTTCCGAATCTCATTTTTATTGGAAGAATTTTTTCACTGTGGACGTTAGGAAGTGCAGATTTTTTTCCTTCTTTATCCACGGGGTCTGAAGTTCTAGGTTATTTGCATGACCGAAGTTATCTCAAAATTTTAAGTGTTTCAGAGCATGGTATCAGCCTTTTTGCTGCGTAATTTAGTGCAAGAATCTTAACAGCTTTGGTCACAATGCTTGTGAAAGCATTTTTAGTCGTCTGGGTCTTTTTTCTGTATTGACTTTGAGTATATCCAGTCGAAGGCGGCAAATGGTCATTTCAATCCTCGTCTTCTAGGCGAAATCTTTTTTCAGTACCGAGATGTGTTAAGACCATTAAGGCAAAAAAATATATAGATTTTGCTGGCCTGATCGCCTAATTTCACGTGGAATAAAAAAGTGATTCAGACCGAATTATAGCAGTATCAAAAGCCTTATTGATTGTCTACGCAAGCCTCCAACGTCTAAAAGTTTTTCGTCTAGTTGGAGGATTTTTTAACGTAATGAATTTTCTGGCTTGGGTATTAAGCTCAAAACTGTTGGCGTTTTTTGATGACAGGTCTTACTTGTGTTTTCTTACGTTCTGATCCCACTTGACTAAATTTATCCCTTGACAAAGAGCATATTTTTCACTGGAGCACATTCCTCGTTTTAGACTTAAAAGTCCTTTTTTCAGCCATAAACCTACACTGAATTCCTTAACCGGTCATGATTAAATTCTTTTTCGTTGCTCTGCTTCCTCCAAAGGCCAGCTGCGTAGTTGCTTTGGCTTCTGTGGTACCATGGCTTCAGTTAGGTGAGAGTTACATCCAGATGGGCATGTGCAAGGTGATTAATAAGTTTTTCTGCCGTTCAAAAGTGGGACACGGTTTTTTACTTTTACAATTTACTGAGCCTTGCGCGTTGCCCATCGTAGATTTCTCCACAGTTTATCTTCGAAGAACAAATTCTCAAGATCTGAATCAAGGATTTAGAAAAACTTGTCAGGGAATTTATTGTTTTCTAAGGATGACGTAACTTATGGGTATCCTGATACTATCAGAAACTTATCCGTCTAGTTTTGTTCCCTTTACATTTCGTGTGGTGGTAGTTAAACAAATGAGGTTTCTTCGACACCAGCTCCATACTAATTTTTTTTCAAAAGTCTTTTAAAATGCCGCGGACATTTCCAAATAGCTTGTAATGGGTCATGCTTCTTCAAACTGTCTTTGTTCTTGCGTTAAAAATGTCAGCGAAGTACTTTCCTGATAGCAGAGACGTATCGATCTTTTCGTTTTTTATATTGCTGTCTTGCATTTTCAGGTCTTATTTTGTCCAGCTTTTCGCACGACCTCTTATTTTCAAGGTTTTCTGGTGTTTCCTGTTTGGTCTTTAGTTGATTTTAAGTTCAAGTTTTTGCTACCACTCCAGACTGTTTGCTCCGCAATACCAGTGGGTTCGAAGAAACTAGCGGCCAACAACATGAATCAGGCAAAGGCGTTAGCAACCAAGCCCATTCCTCGGGACTCGAAAACAGCTAGTAAGAGACCCTCCCTAACATCTCAAAGTTCAGCCAAGGAAAAGGAAAACGCACCACCCAGTAAACTAGAGATGCCGACAGCATCGGCCACTTTCAGCCTGCACTCCCAGTCCTGCCCCATAACAATGCGCAAAGAACCCACCAAAACGGCAGCCGAGAGTAGAAACAACACAGTTGTCAACAGCAGCAACAATAGTGACTCGTTGGACCAGAGCGACCAAGACTCTGTGCGCAGGCATTCCAAATTAAGTACGACCAGCGAGTCGGACCAGACCCTCTTCAAGTCGGAGGATGGTCTGAACGTTTCCATTCAGTCGCCTGTCCCAATGGAACACCGAATGACAAAGAGCGAATTCGTATTCCGAGAGGATGGCAAGTTTTCCCCACCATTCTAGCTGTTATCATGTTCCTTACAAGTTTTAGGAGTAGGGCGTTTATGCGTGATACTGCCTGTTAGGTACCAATTTATTAAAAAACTAACAAGTGCATTGAACCTTCCGTGTATGTCACTCGCTGGCGACCTTGATACTTTATTTGGTAATAGAATTCTGCTTTCGACAGTCGAGTTACTGTCATAATCCGGCCCTTTCCATCAAACCGCTGCATTGGTAACGGGTACCATACGATCAAGGGTGAAACTTGGCAGAATTGATTACGTAGACGATCATAAAGACGAGCAAACCTTACATTCTGACCGCGTTATTCTTTCCAACCATATAATTTGCGATCACAATCGATTTCCGACAATAACTGACTATATTCTCAACCCGCTTTCCCTAGTATAAATCGTCGTGCCTTTAACTTTTGATTGCACCATCCCCTAAGAAGCCGCTTCTCCCTGTACTTACCTGTAGCCAGTACAACTGTGGTCGTGCCTAATCTACCTGACCTCGTTACAGATTGTACCTCTCCACGCTTGAAGGTCCGTGGTTGTGAGTCTGGAGAACACCTCATATCTTTCCTCCAACAACGGAGACCGAATACCGAATGTCTAGCACTTCCATTTCTTTATTGACTGCTCTAGCCAGGTTTTGAGTCGACCTCCTTTCCGACGCCTCCGGGTGGATGACGGCGCCGGATCGAGGGCAGTGACATTGATTTCATGTGGCGAACGATGAAGAACGTGTCCAAATCACAATCGTCTTTCTTGGATGGCTTGGAATATCTTCGCGATGTTGACGCAGCGAGTGCGGACCGTCTCATTTGGTGTACTTCACTCGAAGGATTGTCCTCAAACAGTGGTGGCCAAAGGCCTCCAGTTTTTTCTCGTCTCCTACGCACGCAATGCATCATTCACCATCTGTTAGTAAAACTGGCCGGAGGTATGCACGGTACACGCGGATTTTCCCGATGATGAAAATGTCGCGTCGGGTCCGTAGACGGATTGTGAAAATCCTCCGGGCAACATGGGTTCGGGAAATGATGTCATCCATGCTCCATCCATTCGCCAACGGCCTCGCCCCCGACGTATTTGAACCTGTCCACTTATTTGAGTTAGCAGTCGTTAATACCGAGGACTGCCTTCTACTGGTCGGGGATGCAGCTCAAAAGCACTTCTGTCTTCCTAGCGTTTTTGGATTAACCGACGGATTTAGCGACTTCATTTACCCCTGACACCAGATACCGTAGATCGGAGTTTCGGCCACCAGAACGACATCTTTCGAGTATTGGGGATTAGTAGGCCGGCGATGGCGACAGGCACAGGGATGTCTGAACACCAGTCATCCGGAAGGACCTCCTTTCTCCCCTCTTACTCAGTCGTCTTATGAGGCCAGGGCGCCAAACTGTCTACACAAGATTTGGAGATTTCAGCCTGGCTAGTGTCCTCTCCGGGCGCCCTACTGGTGTACAGCCTTCGTACTGCATCAACAATTTCTCCGTCAGAGAGGGTAGGGAATTACGCGACGCCTTGTAAACTAGACAGGACTAAAACTCCGCTGTAGAGGAGAGGGAGGGCATGATGTGTTGGCCACCGAAGTTGAGAAAGTTCTCGAAGTTCTTAAGCCAACGCTGGACGTTGGTTGAACCGCCATCGACAACGCGAACAGTTTCAGTGCAGAGGGTTTACCACTAATTTGGCAGATAATTTGGTAGTTTTTGAGTGTCATCAATGTTTGAGGCCTGCTTCAGGGACGGGATCGTTGTGTTAAGTTCTTCCAACATGCTAGCGATAACTGGGACCGCAAGTTCTAGGGTTATTGCTGCTGCACATCATCTTTCTTCTTTTCCTCTACAAGATTCTTTTAGTGTCCTTTGTCGTCAGAGACGATTGGAGAATTTTATGTTGAAATTTTGTGGTTTGTGATCTACCGCTGTGCGGCATCACATGATGGCAGTGTCCTTTCCTGACTAGTTTTGTAAAAGACGATTGGTGAACAGTGAGCCCAGAGCTTTATGTGAGCTTCATCTTCATGTCCGCCCATGTGCGGGTTATTTTGACTCCGTAGGCAAGACATGACAGAATCCTCTTTCTCACTTTTCAGCCTGGTCTTTTCGAAAATATATAACTTTTACTCTCACCGATATTGTGATAATGTGACTTGCGAATCTCATGCATGTTGTAAAATGGGTGCCTTATTGTTAACGTCAAGTCTTTGACTGACGAAGACGGTACCTATCTGTCAAGCATGGATCGAATTTTCGAATTTTACATTTGCTTTACAGTAACCACCCATACCTAATACGGCTTTTCCCTCACGTGAGTCTCGAAATGGACTCAATATCCCATATAATGCAGTACGTGACAACTTCTCTATGGGGTTCTAGGACGAATACTCAGTAGCCATATGATGTATGGACATCCTTTCTTCTTTGTATCAAAGGTTATTCAATTGTTAGATTTTGCCTGCAGATTCCTACCACAATTTATTTGAAAACCATCGAACCAAAATCGGTCGTGCTCCTGCTTTTTGATACCCAAAGCAGCCTAGATATCTCGGTCCGCCCTTAGGCTCCTAACAATAGTCTTTTATGCAGGTTGGAATGATCCACCACTTAGCCTTCATGTCACAACATCGTGCTCCCGTTGTACTAGGTGTGTGTGAAGGGTAGGCAACCCTGGTCCTATGTAAGAAGACTTCCTGTGCAACTTATGCCATCCTTTTCCAGCGGAGTTCTAGTTGCGCCTGCTCCACTCTTCGCTTCTTTCACAAAGCAGTTTTGTTTTCATATTCATGCTAAGTTTCTTTATTCCACAGACAAAAATGCCAATTCCTTCGCAAAACTTTGCTCCAGTACTTCAACCGCTGTGGGTATGGGCACTCCACAGGCGCGCTCCCGCCTAACGCTCATCTACCCCTGGGGCGACAAGTCAGCTTCTTTACCCCAGGAGGTCGACCTTGTGCAGCTGACCTCCCCGCGACAATTGGAGGATGTTTTCAAGGACGAACTAGATCAGCTCTCAGATGATCCTCTCCCAAATGGGGTCGCAGCCGTTAATGAACACCTCTTCTGGTGTCCCCAGCCACTGAGTGACTACGAGAAGTGGACCCAACATACGCCTCATACTTGCGCCCGTGCTGACACTCGTCTGCTCGGCAATGTCACGACCTTTTTGCCAGCACACATCGACGCACTAACACTCTCGGAAGTTGAAGAGCATTTTCAAGTGGTGAGTTTCCTCTTCTGTTTGCGTTTGTGGGACAGTTGGACGGTATCGGTACCGACGGGTCATTAGTGTAATCGCTCATCCTCGACATCGGTTCTGTTTGCAAAAGAGGGAGGGCAGTTAGGATAACTGCGTGGCAAGAATGTGTCCAATTATATCATATACGGTATTAGCCTTCCAAATTTTACCGTTGAGGGACCTACCGACTGAACTGACCAAGACTTCCGCTGACTGCTCAGTAACAGTATTCTAATCCTGATGTGTGAGGCTAATTTATCGCGCGTCCTGACGTGGCGTACAGGTACGGTACTGACTTCATCTCAAGCGGGGACACGACGTATAGGAGCACCCACGTCATTAATACGATGAACATGGCTAGCAGTACATTTTGATGAGTTACCGCAGGTCTGCTGCCCAGCACCGTTCCATTTGACATCATTCTCTCATGCCTACCTATCCAAATTGAAACACCCTCACACTTGACATTCGGTCACATTCGGTAGCATCTTTATCAACCGGCATCTGCCATAACCTCTCATCTCTCTGTCTCTTATCGTTGTCTTCTTCTTTATTGCCCTTTTCTGCACTTTTCCAACCTTTTATCAACATCATACAATAGAAGGGACGGCAGTTTAAACGATAGGGCTGGAACTGCATGCACATCTTGACCTGATAACCACGTGGTTTTCTGTGTTTCGGTGACCGTGATGCAAACCATTTAGCTGATGCCCCGCTCATCCAAGTGAAGCTATGATGAGTAACGATGCACTCCTCATTTTTGGGAGGATCTTCCCCAGAATAACGACTACTGTTCGAGTTAATCGGGACAGTTACTTAGTTCGAGTCCTGTAAGCCATTAACCGTTGGCAGAATAAAACTTCCAGCTTGATATTACGTCAATTTTCCGGTCTGATCAGTCTTGCGACCACTGCTCTTATTTTGATCTCTGACGCCCGTTGAAAATGTCTAGCGTCCACTTACTCACTAATCTTCCGAGGTCCACTTCTCGCCATCGATAAGTTCTGTCTTGACTTACGTGGGAAAGCAGACATTTATAACGTGGTCTCCGTAACTTTCAACTGAACCAAAGGCGAGTTGTCGTTTTTCTATCTTATTGTTTGGCCTAGTGACCAGACAAAAGTTGCTGATTTTGGGATACTTTTTATTTTCAGATCCTTGGTCTGCTTATCGGGGCTACCGAAGAAAAAGTAAAACTGGCTGGTCGTCTCGCATATCTGACCTGGTTTACTTCAGCCACCACGCTTCTCTACTCTAAAACTGCACAGAAAAAATCCAACTACTTCTCACTCCTTTCCTCCTCCATCCCGCGAGCTCACATACTCCTGGAAGAGGCTGTCCGCCTTCTGAAACAACCCAGTGCGACCACAAATTCTGAGGCGCGGACTTGGCTCTGTCGACTGATTGGTCTTCTCGCGCACCGAACCGCCTACCTTCTCTTGTGGCTTAGTGGTGAACACGAACACCTGGTACGCCAGCTCACTGTGTGTCTTGCTCCAGATATCGCCGCCTGCCTCGCCATTGTCGTGGAGGTGCTTCGCGAACCCGCCACCCGTAACCTCGTTCACCTTCGGCAGGCTGGCGTGACCGCTCTTGGGGAGCTAATCGTCTGCGAAATCTGTGTCGCCGGAGTCGTCCTCAGTCCAAGGATAGACATCACTTCTTGGAGTGATTTGTATCCAGTCCATTTTGACATCCAACGCGGCCAATGGCAGTCCGTCACTTTCCAGTTAGTTCGATGCCTCAGCACTAGCAAGATGACGTCAACAAGCCAGCAGCAAATGTCTTCACCGGCCATCTACTGTACCACTTTGACCGCAGTTCCGGACGATACGATTGGTAAGACCAGTGATCTGGCTACAATGTCAGCAACGACAGGGCCCCAACTGACAGAGGACCATGTTCGTCTCGCGGCCGCCCGTGCACTTGACGAGATGGTAACCGCAATTCTAGGCTGTAATCTTCATCGCCTGCTTCAGCGCGTGGACGCTGGCGACGTGGATCGGTCACAGCCAGGTGTTGTGGTGATGCTCACGCTTTCCACCTCCATCTTCACCTTCCTCGACTGTATCTTGACTCCGGAGACAGTGAGTCGACTGTGGGCCGACGGTGTTCTTGGTGGGCTCTCAGAAAACACCAGTATTGGTGGAAACAATGCTAGTGGATCGAGTGCTGTCGGTGGCCGTCACGGCTCAGCAAACATCTCTTCCCATAATCCACGCTTGAAGACACAAGTATGCCAGCGGGTAGCCTTTACGTCCTCCAGTGCACTTGCCGGCCTTATTCGTCTGCGGCCGGCCCTCTTCACTGGCGGTTTGATTGACCGAAATGGGACAAGCGCCTTCCTGACAAAGTTTAGCCCTTCAGTTGGAAACCGCGAGCCTCACCACACTGCTTTTACGGCAAGTTTTGAACCACAACACAGTCAACTCTAACAGTCTATAAGACAGTTTGGTCGATATTATTTGTGGTATGTTTTCTTCTTCACGAGCCAGCTTTAGAATTACGCAAAGTCCATGGCAAGTCAATCTTCTGCCGTAGTCGGTTTGCCCCATGCTACAGTTCGTTTGGCTACCTGTTGTGATGACTGTTTTTGCTCTTGAAAAGCTTCATAGACTCATCACATGACAGAAGCAGCAACTTATACGCCCCGCCTATAAAATGTGACTTAAGAATCCCAACTTCACTTGTTGCCTCAATTCACTAGATTAAGTCTATAAGCGACCTTTACGTTACAATAATTACAAAATTTGAATGAAATGTCTGTTTGGGTAAATGATTCAGGCATTGTGTCAGCACCAAATTCTCCCTTTTCTAATCCACATCCGTGCTGTCTGAAGGTTACCCCCTCTCCCCCCCATTGATTAACCGTCATACTTGGGGAAGTAATGATTCTACCTTTGTAACCCAACTAACTTTTTTCTTCATATTGGCCCAACTGTGAAAAACTCGGCGCCTCGGTGGGATTCGAACCCACGATAGCAAGAGGAAGGCTTTAGTATAGCTAACGCTCTAGCCACTTGAGCTACAAGGCCCCAGCGAACTACCCGAGTTTAATCACATTTAGGTCAAGTTACCCGCCCAGCCTACTGCAACGTCTGGAATCCACCAAATCTGATACAGTAAGTTGACTGCCCAAGCAGGAATTTCTAAGTAATTCATCTAGAATCCACCAGATGACTACTAGGCTCACGTAATTCTTAGCTCAAGTGGTTAGATCGTTGGCTGTACTAAAGCCTTCCCCTTACTGCGTGGGTTCGAATCCCACGGAGGCGCCGAGTTTTTCACAGTTGGACCAATATGAATTATTGAAAATCTGCCAAAATATCTATGAATAACTTTTTTTCTGTTGACGGAACCCATGATGGCTGAGACTGTTCCTTTCGAAGACCACCTTTACGGCCATAAGTTTTGCCTAAGCATACCCCATGTTAAAAGAAGAGGGGGTTTCCTCGCCGAACGCTTCCCTTCATGCTGCTGGGGAATTGGATTTTCACCACTTTTTGGTGTGTCTGGTAGTCTCTATATGAGAAGGAAAAATGTGTCGCAGTTTTGTTTTTGGGTCCTTGTGTTGTTTCGGGATTTCTATCGCCTAGAAACATGCTGGGCATATTCAGAGGCCTACTTCCTCATCGGACTCAGTTTCCCGTAGACCGTTTCATTTGCAGGGATCAAGTTTAAGGGTCCTGGTGATCATATATTTCTGGAGCTCAACCACTCATTCCATAACATTTGAAGAGGTTGGGAAATCTCGTTTGCATGCTTGGAAACTTTCATCCTCACCATATTGGTAGCATTTGGATTTCGTCAACTGTCTATCACTCTCCACTTAGTTCCGGCTTTTCCGCTCTCCTGCAGCTATTGTTAACCGGGTGACCTATGAAGCGACAGCTGTCTATCTTTCCACTTGTCAATTCTAAAATCATCTTTCCATTTACCTCGCTGGCGCCCCGTTGTAAACCCTCAAAGATGTCTTCAAAGCCTGGGAATTATTCTGCCTGTCTGTACAGTCGATCCGGTCTTGAAATATGTACATGCACTGTCCTAACCCCTTACGCCTTAGTTCGCTTCTATCACTCAAGACTAGGTTGCTGTCAGCTCATCAACGCCCTTCCCTCCGCGGCATCATATCTCGCGTGCCTTTCCTGAGGAGATCAGTGCTAATTCAGGATGACGTCAAATATTTCAATTTCAATCTTCTCCTCTAAATAACTTATTACACCGTTTAGGCTAGAGAAGACATACTGCCTTCAGATAGTTTTATTTTCGTTTATTGTTACTGGACACAATTATTCACCGAATCCTTTTGGAACTAGCCGTTCAAATCGATGACGTCCTTTAGAACTGTAGTCTTATCCAGGACGTAAAAACCTCTTAAGACAGTTCCCTGTCGGGTTGTTTTAATGGTCCAAACGTAATGTCCCAAGAAAAAGTGTAAAAGGAAACAAAAAATACAGGTTACAACATAAAAATGCGATGCTCTTAAGATGATTAGTGAAATCTTGACTTTTACATTTCCGCTTACCGACACGTCAAAAATCGGGTGGGGCAATATATAATCGATTGTCGATACATCGACTTTCACGTGTAAATGCGACTAAACGCGTTCTGAAGTGAACGGCGCGATCTGAATTCCATTAAATCAATCTCTCCGAAGTAGGTCGCATCTCAGGAAATGTATTCCCCGAATTGCCTCACTGATGTGGGCGAGCCATTAGAAAGCATTTAGAATCACCTGCACCGAGAGATAGAGAGAGTTTCAGGGGGATACATGTTATAATATGCATATGCTTTTATACTAATGCAGGCTGTCGCACCTCCTCGGGTTTGCAATTTTGTTTAGGTTTATAATGACCTTCCCTCCGCCTATTCTGCGCCAACAAACTCGACGCATCCCCCTTAAATATGATTATTTTGCACCAGCTTCCATACTTTCAATTACTGCGTCAAGTCTAGTACTTCCCGATCATATTTTGGACTGTAGATGCTCTTTTATCTTTACTGTTCATACCGTCACATCGGTACCTTGCTCTAACGTCGTCAACTGAGTCAGTATATTGCCCTTAGTTTGAGGGTTTTCCTTCTAGTCCCCGTAACCTTCCCCACATACCTAATTTTCACTTCAATTACACTGTTCTGATTGAATTTCGTTCGTGTTGAGGGTCACGACGGCGCGATTCAGACCTTTGCCTGTCTGATGTTGTTCGTTTGCTTGATTAGGTATGCGCAGCTGCACTCCTAGGCTCACACGAACACATGCAAGTTGGGTTCCCACAGCTGCATCCATCTAGCCCCTTTCACACATTCTGCTTCGACAGAGACTGTCGTGTGACAGGTTCCGGTTGCGGCTAGCCATGACTCTCTCTGTGTGTGTGAAGTTTCGGGCGCGTGTGATCGAATATTCTTTCGTGTTTTTGCGCCAGTAGACATGTGGAATTTAAATGTAGGATTGAGTGTTTGTAAAATTGATTGTGTATTTTACAGGTTCAATATGCATTCATTATGTGAGTATATGATCTAAGGTTGGAGATGCAAGCGAAGACTGAGTTATAGTGTTTAGTAAGGCCGAAGCAGGCTGCTAGGGCTGACTGATCATCACCTACTAAGCTCACTGAGGCAACCGGAGATTTATCCTTTAGACCACTTGGATGAGGAAATACGCCAAACAATTTAAAAATCACATTGCTAACTAAGTCCGTATTCAGACAAAATATGTATCCAGGCCTGGCGACAAATCCAAAGAAATGCATGATGAGGAGAACGGGATATCGAAACCCTCTGTAGTCATCTCTGTGACACGATCCACAGGAACGCAACTGAGGTAAGTGGAACCACGTGGTGGTGACATTTGAGTCCATTTGACGAGAACGACAGGTAGGTTTGACACCTGCTCTTTCAGGGGAGCAAGCATCTCTGAATCAGCCAGTATGAATCGTAATGGAAAAGAAGTTTATGACTGCTTGGACAAAAGTGCCAAATGGACTGCCGACCTTAAGATTGGCGTAGCCCAAAGCGTCTTGTCGCTGTCAGGGTGCCTGGTCCTCACCTTGGTGTGGCTCGTAAAATTGTCGTTCCTATAATTCATCCCCTACTCTGCCGCCAATTTTTAAGTAGGCGTCTTTGTCGAGGCGAGATGCCTCAACCTATCACCCTGCGCAAGCCAGCAAGTCATCAAGGCAGTTCTTGAATTGCATGGTCTTCGCGTTGTTTGCAGTGGTTTAAAGACGTCTTTTTTGCTTCTTCGCCGTATCACCATTCCTACACAATTATTCGATTTTTCTACACTCAAATTTACCTTCTGTCTTTATGTGTGCGTAGTCTCTGTGCGAATTACTCTGATAAGCACCTTTGGAACATTAAAACAAAACAGCTTAATCTAAACTTACTTTAGTCTTCATCAGACTCACTCTGCGAGTTCGAAATAATTAAATATTGGTTATTTGTCCGATGTTCAAGTGCGTCCTCCAAAGCATTCAACATTAAGTCGGGAGGTAATTCGTTCGATTCCATCAACAGCACAAGTTTATTAACGGTGTGAGTCCCATATTCCCTTGCCATAATACAACCGAAGTCTAGACTAGGTTGATAAGGGGAAAACATTACCCTACGGAAGCCGACCTAGAAGAGATTTTAATTTGGTTAGGGGTATCAGACTTTGACTCTTAACTGGCTGGCAATTAACAATAGCTCCTAAAACCTTCCCGTCTTGTAATATCCGAGCCCTCAAACAATAGATTTTCATGCCCCCACGTCTCATACAACTGCGTTTGCATTCGCAGTTGCTCCCCTCTACTCCATGGACATGCTATCTCTTAGGTTGCTCTTACCCTTCTTTTCAAAATTCACGTTAATCTTGTCCATTGGTAAAGTCAGAACTTACCTAATTGAAGTCTCCACAATGCATCATCAAACCTCTTTATTTCTTAATCTCATTAACAACCGCATATACGGTTAAAGCGGAGTGGCATGCACCTATGATAAATTGTTAAGAATATCTATCAAACCTGCATTATTTCAGCAAAATGTCAGTAGAAGAACCTGCATGAGGTTAGTCATCATATTTTTATCTAGATTTCCTAGCCGTCAGGAGTTCGTCGTGGGGGATGAAAGGACAGTAACAAATGAATATGACTTGTCGTTTATTCACCGCATGTAGCTGCCTGTGTCCCCGGCTGGAAGCTGAGTCGCGCCATCCGTCAGTGGGAAGAAGGGAAGCCATGTGAAAACTCGATCACTTGCAAGCAAGAGTCGCATTTTAAGCGTTTGAAAATGGTTCCTTTGATTGAGAAGTGTCACCAACAAAAACTAAACACTCTAAAATGAGTCTTCCTGTCTTTTTAACTGCCGTCGGCCATTGCTACCGAAATTCGTAGCCGTAGACGCACCTGAGGTATTAACTCAGGTCAAGCAGGTCCTCAAGTGTTTTGGGTTCAGCGCCCTATTTACCTGTGATATCAGGCGCACTCTCTGTCGAGTGACGTTGGTAATATTCATATCTACATAAAAGTGACGTTGAACGATCTACTTGCACAACGGAAACAGACATTTCTGTACAACTGGCTGTTGACTGCCGATAGCCTAGATATAGCAATTAAAATCCTTAAGCTTTGTTCATGAGATATTATTGGTCGGCGCGCGGCGGCCTGCATGGGCTCTGGCCTCGGAGCTTCAAACAGAGGAATTGCTCCTCGTCCTGACATCAGGAAAGATCTGTGAATCCCGCCCGCATATGGCTTTACTCAGCCCACTTGCGGGAGGCACGTGGACGTGTGAAGAGTTGAAACGATGCTAGATATACTTATACTGCTACTCACTAAGCGGGTGGTGTGAAGGCATTCAGCAACTCATGACCTGTGCTTTTCACCTCCTCAAGTAAGGGTCTTGTTAGCGAGTTTGCCTTGCGGAGTTGTTTTCTATTATTCCAGGACTCTCTCCCTCAATTTTATTTTTGTTAAGTACTTCCTATCTGTGCGTGCGTCTCATACTAGGAAGCTCAAAGTATTCCTTGTAGGATTTGGACCAGTAGATCAGGCTGGAATATTTTGCATTGAAAGCCATCATTACTTTCTAACCTTCTTTGTCTTACTGAAGTATCCATAGTTTGTCCCATTATTAGTGAATGGAAAGTGAGGAGGTGAAATGTCCTTCCCCTTCCGCCTACTTTGTGGTGCACTTCTTGAGTTATCCTGACATGCAACCATTGCCCCTTTGCCCCAAGCGTCTGCCTGGACAGTTCTTCATAGACTTGCCTGATTTGTTCAACGCCAACATCTTGTGGTGTCTATTTGCAGTCAAATCGATTCCCGCGAGCATACTGGGGAAATACCGCATTACCGTGCCAACTGAACACTGTTCACTAACTGGCTTGGCATCTACTGCACTCTCTCCTCTTCCCTCTCCTTGAGCTCAGTGTCAAGATATAGTCAATAAGACCGAAGGAGGGAGAGAACGCATGTAACTGGCGCTGCTGGACCCACACGCAGGTTTGCCACCACACCCCCTGGTCCACAACAAGTACTTGACCGGGATTTTAATCAACAGCAAAAATGGGTCAGAAAGAGGGGGATGACACAAGTCACTGGGCAACCATGCACAGGGCCTGTATACCCATGGGGAGCGCACATGCATCCACCGACAGGCAATCAGGTGCCAGAGAACTGCCAGCGTACACCAGGCTGCGAGGGCCAAGGTTTGCTAAAGCGCGGCATAGAATCCGCGCACAATCCTTAAAGCCCACAAGCGTGAGACGCACCCCTGCATTTAGCCTAGGCCGTTAGCCTCCAAAGGTCGGTTTCCTAGCACTGCAGTCTAAAACGTTTGTTATGCAAACTTTTCCCACTCTTACGTCGTCCAAAGTCATCATCAGTACTTTCGTGCATCAACATACACGCCAACCTCATTCATCGACAGAGGTCCTATAATGGTGCATGAAAAGTTCTATCACGAAACCTCCTCACTCTTAGTTGAGCTCTCAGATACTCGTGATGAGAATGATGACTGAACTTTCTTTTTAATCTCCAGGCCCGTCTCCTCTCAGCGACGGCCACCGGTCTCCTTTTGCCGCTGTCCCTTAGAGTGAAACCTCTGAGCTCCTCCTTTCTCCTCATCGGTATGAAAGCAGGCACCCCAGCAGCTTGTCGTAGACTTCTGAGCAGCCGGCGTTTCATCTCCAGTCTTGTGAGACATTTAGAGAGTCCTCACGTCATGTTACGTGCCAAGGCCTATCTTCTGGCTGCCGCTGCGCTGGACGTCAGTCCTGGCGGAGTCTTGCCCACCGCCTGCGAGTCGCGACTGCCCTCCTGCCTGGAACGTGATCTTCGGATGACCAATCAGCACAGCCCACAAGTACTCCCGCTGATGACGCCCACACCGGCGACCGCGGCCGAGACTGAAGTCTGTGTCGGTGAGCCTGCTCCAATGCAGATGAATATGGCCAACACACATCGGACGCCCTCTGTACATCACGCACCTGATCTCCAATATCTTGGCTTTTGTTGCCGACATTTAGCCGACTTTTTGATAGATCATCTGGTGCCGAAAATATGTGAACAGGTGAGTACTCGCTTGGTCCTTGTTCTCAGATGCATTAAGTGTCGGCAGCTGCAACACTGGTTATCCGCTCTTACGTGTACGGCAGAGCATTTTCAAAAGCCGTTTCTCTTACCCCTTCTAGAACGTTCACCATGGTTGGTGGCAAATGTGCTCGGGGGTACTGTTTCCTCGTGATAGGGGATCTCTGCTCTTACTGGCAATCGAAAATTAGGTTGTCCATACTTTTCCGAAATTCAGACAGATGTCTAGGATCGAGAGGATCGCATTTCACGAACGATTTACCTTGGTCTGATTGTGGGACTTCCCACCGAGGGAGGGAACCGACGTCCTATACTGTTGTTTATTCGAAAATGAAAGTGCCGTCGGCAAAAAGACACTCGAAGACGTATTCTTTCAGCGTCACAGCGTATAGAAGCAGGCAGGTTTGAAATTTTGCATTGTGACAACGAGAGCTCGTGGCCATCCTGGGGCAAGGACAAGTGAAAGGGGCTCCGTACTGGTGGCGACTACCCTTCATTTTAGATTTGTAAGAGCGATAGAGAAGTCGACTTTGTTTTGAAACAAGCGAGGGACAAAGTATCTAAACAAAGGTATTAGTAGTTATTGTATCAATCCGAATCTTAGTCTATCTGTTGCGGACTTGCATACAGTCGATTTGCAATGAACATGGTGCAGAATAAAATTCCCATACTCCTCAGGATCGATGAATGGCATGATGAACAAAGTTCCTCTAAAACATTCACTGATCCCGCAAAAAATTTGTCCTCCCAGTTGTGAGAATTAAATGCACTTTTGGAAGAAATATTTATGTCTATGAGACTGGTAAGCAAGTCCGGACGAGGACGCATGAATACGGGCTTGCTGTAAAGAGGAATGGTTAGCTGACCTTGGTGGCCGCCCGCATGCCTTTCCCAGGGTATAATTTCGCTGTCGATGTCATAGGGATCCTCGGCAAGTCAGTTGACCAATTCTTACGTCAAATTCATGAAACGTAGCGTTCCAGGACTCGGTCAACAGCTATTCTGATATATCATTCATCTACGAACCGTTGAGGGGAAAAATCAATAGCTCGACAGAAAGTAGTTTTCCGGTCAAAGTGGGTTAAATATTGATGAGGACGCGCGGGTACAGCATATATAATAATTCACGCGATAGTTCGACCGTCGTTCCCCGACGATGTCCACCGTGTGCTCCACAACAAGGTGAAGCAGGCACGGCGGCTTGCGCAAGATTTATTTTATAGTGGATGTAGACTTTCGCAGCGTCTCCCGCACTCTCACCTCCCCCCCACTTGGACCCGGTGGCAAGACAGAGTAAAGAAGACCCAAAGTGGGGAAGGGCGCAGGTTGATGGCACGGTCGAGCCCGCACGTTGGCGCTCCACTCCACACCCCCTGGTCCACACAGCAAGTGATCTGATTTTTGGCCAACAACAGCAATGGGGGACGGCGGTAGGCCACATTAGGAGGAAGTCATTGCAGCCGGATTTTTAGAACACCAGTCGGCCGCTCCACACACATACGCGACGCTGGGTGACTGCGAGATCCAAGTTATCCCGTTAGTTGGCAACCTTCCAAGCCACGGCTTCTTGCGTACCGTGATAGCTTCAAGCGCACACACTGGCAACAGCACCAACCTCAACACGCGCACACGAGAGGATTACTGCCATCTGTTTGCCGCCCCGTCTCCTATCTGGACAATTTGTCTAAACGTGCCACACACGACCTGGTTCCTTACTCCAAATTCGCCCAGTGTCCTTCCGGAGGAAGAGCCAGGATCTCATGCAAGTGAGTGTCATAAAGGTCACGATAAGAATTAGCCATTGCAGCCTGACGTCCAGTCCTGGGTAGGTTTGGACTAGTCCATCGGTTTGCAGTCATGCAAACGTATCTGTTGGCAGGTCATGGTGGTTTCAAAGTGCGTTCGACTGTAAATTGAGGGCAAGAGCCAATAAGCACAAACAGCTAACTTGAAGACATCACCAATGTGCTCATAGGCCTTTAAGATCTCACCAGGTACTATTCCCCCTTCTCCATCCGACCAATTAAAACCCAGCAAGCGCTCCGTTATGAGACCCCTCCGCTGTTTTTGAGCAAACGAATTGCTGTACTGCGAAGAAGGCAGATACAAGCAACCTCACGGTTTCTATCTACCGTGAGTGCGCGCTGACCACTTCCTGCCGCGAGAGGTTTATCTACCTAACCCGTGACCCAGTGACCGGTGTCATGAGTCGGTCGCCCACTGAAGAGAGGCTATTAATCCTCCTTCTCGCGGGCCGTAACTTAAAATCTCGGACGCAATCAATTCTTCCATCATTTTCGTCCTGACCTTTTTATCTTTAATTTCGCCCTCAATTGTGCATTCTTGTATTTGCATAGCTTTGGCACGATTACCCGTGTGGCCTTGAGGAGACTGATTTGATTCAAACTCTTTAGGTCGCGATTTCTATCGGTGTCGCACGTCTGCCAAAATCCTCCTCTCAACAGAAGCTTTCCTCTACTACGGGATCATCTTTGAGGTCTAACACTAAATATGTGAAACCCCAGTCTGCCATTCGTCGCCCCTCCATTGCATCTCCTGGCGGAACAGCGCATACCGTCTCGTCCGGTGTCTCTTTGCGAACGTGGCTGCCAGCCTACTCTTGCATTCCTGCCATTCTGGCGTCTTCGCTGTCCGTACGCAGTGGTCTCCTTCTTCCATCTCCTGACAAACCCGCCAATAGGTTCTGTCTTCTTGTATTTGTCGGGAGGTTGTTGGAGCATTGGACTTCCAATGATCCTGTCACTGCGGCTGGTACGTCTGCTCTAACCCGTCTCCTGTTTTTTTTGCAAAAGCTTCATGATATGGTAGAGGGGTGCGCACAGTTCGCGTTACGGAACTCACTCGTCCCATTCTGCCTTGGGGTTTTTTTTTCTCGATCCCCGGCAGTATCCGCGTAGCGGCGCGTAATATGGACAGAATAGCATTATCGACCGAGACAAGGCGAACTGAAATGGTCATTTCTGGCTTTTTAACCGCCATCAGCCAGCCATAACCTACCTCGAGGTATGAAGTCCCCTAGACTCGAACTCGTGGCCTGTTAGCTAAAGTTTAACGTTCGAACCGTTGAGCCACAGGCTCATAGTGCTGTCGGTTGCGATTGGGTACATTGACAATGGCTGAGGGGCGCGCACCGATCGCATTACGAAACTCGGGATATCTTGATATGACAAAGCTGTTAGTCAGATCCTGACTTAAGCAGGCCTAAAGCATCTTTGCCAATTATGACCTTATTCTTCCCCGGATGGGAGAGTAGGCGAATTCACGTCGTTGGTTAGGGCTGCTGCCAGGAATGAGTCCGGTCGGGCGCAACAGCGAAACAGTACTGGACAATTCTCCTCGATTTGTAACTCGACTTCTTGATGTGATGTGACAGGATAAGAAGCCATTTCAACATTCGACCGATCGTTTGGCTCTTCGCCAGTGGTAAATACAAACAGCGAACCCTTTTTATTATACCTGGACTGACTTAGCACATTTGCCATTTGTCATAAATGTCTTCGTCGTTGCCCTTGCGCTGTTCACACAGTGCTTAGACTTAACCCCTTTTAATGCTCTCTAAATACTTACATTATGTCCACCGACGATGTCCACTGTGTGCTCCACAGCAAGGTGAGAGCAGGCACGGCGATTTCCGCATGCATTACCTTCTATTGGGAATAGCCTTGCGTAGCATCTACCGCACTCTCTCATCCTCCCTCACCTGGGCCACGTGTCAAGACAGAGTCCAAAAGACCGGAGACCGGAGGGAACGCAGGTGGGTGGCGTGACCGGACCCGCGCCCAGACGTACCACCTAACACCCCCTGATCCAAAACAAACGCTTGAACTGGAGGTTAACCCACAACAAAAACAGAAAACGAGAAGGACTACGCAACTATGCGCACGACCTGTATACTCAGCGGGAGCTCAAACGCATCTCCCGGCAGGGAATCAGGTGCCAAAGATCTGCTGACGCGCACTAATCTGCGAGGGTCATGGCTTGCTGATCGTGGCATAGCAGACGCTTACAGACCTTAAGGCCCTATATTGGTGCACAGAATCGTATTGAGCCATGAGAATGATCGCTGCTCGTCTTTTTGACGAGTTTGTGCTTAATGGTTTAATTAATAGTCTAATCCACTCTAGCAAAAGTTGATCAATCTCGTCAGGAATAACAGCACCACCGGGTAAGTCTTCAAACTGGCCAAGCGTGCTTACTGACAATGTCTCTATCCTCATGGATGCTACTTTATTCGGTAAGCCGTAGCGAGATTTGTTGTGCGGTCAACTGAGCATCCACACCCTGGAGCCTTGAGTAGTACGATTTGGATCGCTCACTGATCTGTAGATGTTTGGTAATGCGTCTTTGGGTATGCCTCCGTCCTTATTAAATAAACCACCCAATTCAGTACCGCCGGAAGAGACATTAGCGTTCATCTGACCGTGTTTGGCGCGTGACGTTCCGAGCGGCAATTTTGTCATTGACATAATATCACTGCTGTTGCAATCAGTGGCGCTGTCGTCCTTGACGTGTTCCGCTGACGTGCGGTTTCTGCTTGCGCCGACATTGCTCCATGTGCCCTTCTAAGCGTGTAAATTAGCTCATCCGTTTTTACGATACTATCGATCCGGGGTCGCCTGCGCGTTAACGTTCGCACGCGCTCCAGGTACATTACTGACGCAACAGATCGCCTTTTCATGTCGCACTCTCTTGCACTCACACCTGTTTAACCAATCAACAGCGCTATGCACCCACGTGTGTGCGCTCTAGCGCATAGTGCATGCAAAAAATGTGTCTATACTTTTTCTGACTGCGCCGTTGACGGGGGATGACATGTCAAAGGTCCCATTTTATCACACAAGGTCTCCTCAATTGTCGTGCCGATCTGTTATACTAGCAGCCAATCGACTGTATGCACAGTGCTCAGTTACACCTAGATCCGAGCTCCTGGCTCGGATGTTTTTCACAAAATGTACTTTAGCATTTAATCAAGGAATATGTGGGAACTTGCACGTTCCTGTTCATTAATCGCCCTAGTTGTTTATGTTGACTGTTTCTAATAAAAACGGCAGATATTTACTGTCTCTAAAAATTAAAGGTTTTCTAACAGCGCCACAGCTAACAATTTCTTTTATTATCAAAACGTTTGCCGTTTCAGTATGTGTAGAGCTCTTCTGCCAACGTTTTTCGCACGTTCTTCTAGAATAAAACTTAACCTGCTTGCGTGTTGCAGACTGACGACATGCGTTGGCGTATTTTATGAGGTGCTTTCCAGTCCCCCTAGAGACTGATATACTCAGAGGATTTTAATATGCATTCGGCCCTAACTGTCTGACTGTTAGGTTGCGTTGCTACAATCTCAAAGGGGAGTTGATTTGTTACTTCACGAACTTAAATTTTCGCTTTGTGAATTCACCCATACCTCTGACAGCGGACTCATTCATCACTCTAAAAGCCCAAGTTAATCAATTACTCCTCTCAGGGCTTGATACTACATTCTAGCCTTTCGTTTATCTGCTTTGTTTAGTTTCAGGAAAATTAATACGCAAAATTGGAATAAATTCTTCAATGCAAAGCTCTTTTCGTCCCTGTCCGAGAGTTTACACATAAATACTTGAGCTAACATACATCCGCTGCTGTGAAATAACTGCGTAATACTCACAAGCTGCTAACGGCCAGTTAGTAGTATGAAAATGCTAAATGGATTACCATATTGACAGCACAGGTACTATTTAACAGTTTCACCATCAGGACTGACGATGTCCACCATTTGCTCACAGCAGGGTGAGAGTAGGGACGGTGGTTTGCGCATAAGTTAGTTTAAAGTGATAGTAGGCCTTCTCAGCACCTACCGCATACTGTCTTCCGTCCCCATCTGGATCCGATGTCAAGGCACCCAAGAACACCGGAGGCGGGAGTGGTCCGCGCCCAAAGGACCAGAATTTCATTAAGAAAAAACGGGAGTGGCTTGAATCCCAACAGAGTGGGAATGCCATAAAGGATACATGGAGGAATCATTGCAGTCTGACTAAGTCAACCAGTTGGCCACTCCACACACACACACACACATGCCAGTTCGACCGTCGTTGCCGACGATTTCAACCGTGTACTCCACAACAAGGTGAAGCAGGAACGGCGACTTGTTCAAGATTTAGTTTATAGTGAATGTAAACTTTCGCAGCGTCTTCCGCACTCTCCCCTCCCTCCCCCACTTTTATCCTGTGTCAAGACGGAGTAAAGAAAACCCACGGTGAGGGAGGGCGCAGGTTGATGGCACGGTCGAGCCCGCACGTTGGCGCTCCACTCAACACCCATGCTGTCACCCTCGGTTCGGATCCCACGGAGTGGGAGTGCCATAAAGGCCATATTAAGAGGGCGTCATTGCGGCCTGACTCTTAGACAACCGGTCGGCCGCTCCACACACACATACACGACACTGGGCGACTGCGAGATGCAAATTATCCCATCGGTTGGCAACCTTCCAAGCCACGTCTTTTAGCGTACCGTGATAGCTTCAAGGTGTCAGGTTGTTTCTAGTAAAGCAAATGTGCTGAGCCGTCGACCGCACTCTCCGTCCCTATTCCCGGATCCCAGTCACTGTCCCAGCCAGTCGGTTGACAAGTGCGGGTAATGGGTGTCCTTGTCTGCGCGCGCTGTATGCACGACCTGCCCCCCCCCCCCAAACACAACCATCAGGATTTCACACAGCTGGAGTTGGGCGGCATACATCTCACATGCGTGAGAGTGTCGTAGGTCATGTTAGGAAGAAACATGGCTCTCAGCCCGCCAGTCCACCACTCCACACAAACATACAGACAACAGGACTGACTGCGTGGGCCGAGTTGGGGCGTCAGTCAGCAGCCTCCCAGGCCACGGCGCTTGATGAAACGTGATAGTCTCAGACTCAAATCATACAAGAAGCAGAAGAGCCGCATAGAGACGGAGCCGAGACGCACACTTCCCTCTTGCGTGGGAGGTGACAGTTGGATGCTTGTGGTGGGTGATGATGTTATGGTGCGGTGTAGCCGACGTTTGTCTACCGCAGGTTACCGTGAATACGCATGTAGCCTAATAGGCCCATGCGGTGAATGAATGTGCGGATGCTGTGATGGCAGTTGAAACGGATACGTCGGGTTTTTGCCCCAGGAACTGGCTCGCCAATCTCTGTGCAATGGAATTGCAAGTGACCGATCAGACCGATGTGTGAGATGAAGGTGCGATCGCAATGAGGACAGGTATGGACCGAGTCCACATTGCTGGTTTTGGCGGTGGTGAGATTGGTGTATGTCGGGGTGTTAGCATTGATTGCAGTGACGGTGGGTGCATGAGCCGTCGCAGCGGATGTTGAGGCGACGGAGGAGGATGGCGGTTGGGGTTCAGGAGTGCGGTCAGCATTAATTATCGGCCAGGGGCGAGGTAGAGGTGAACGGGGAGACATCTGGTGGTGTCGCCCGGGTGCTGCAGTTGGTAAAAAATTCCAATGAGACCGATTGGTGCCCGGAACGTCTGCTGGCATCGGGGGCGGTTGATTGTTGGCGTTACGAGGCGGAGGCAGTTGAGATTTACGAGCTTCGCGTCTGGCTTCGACGGTGATGATGCGGTTGGTCTCGTAGATCCGTGCGCCGTTCTTCACTGCTTTCTACTAGGTCGGTTAGTCCCGGGCAAGGTATTCCCACTTGACCGGGTCGATTTGCAGGCGCCTCAGGGAAGTATTCAGTGTATCCTTGTAGAGCCAGACTTGACCTGCTTATCGGCAAGAACTCGTTGCGACATCTCCACAGAAGAATCGTTTGGGCAACCGCTCTTCGTCCATGCACACGAGATGGTCGCTTCAGCGCAGTTGCAGTTGCCTCAGCAGGACGTAGATGATGAGGATTCCCATCCGTTCCAGTATGTCTGTGTCTGGTATCCGGTCCTGCCACCTCAGCTTCAGTATCCGTCGGAGACAGCTAAGGTAGACGTGGTTGAGTCATCGTGCCTGATTCTTGTACACCGTCCAAGTCTCCGCTCCATATAGCAGCGTCGGCAGGATGACCGCTTTGTACATCCTTAGTTTGATGCCAATGTGGAGACCGTGTCGATTCCAGACCGTGTTTCGCAAACGTTCAAAGGCTTGGCTGGCCTTGGAATTCCGGCGGGTCACCTCATCGTCGATTTTGGTGCTGCCCAGGTAGGTGAATTTGTCCACGGCTTGTAGTTGGGCGCTGCTCACATTGATTTGAGGTGCGACATAGGCAGCGTCGGGTGGCGGTTGATGCATAACCACCGTCTTCTCCCTGTTGATGATGAGGCCGAAGTTGCCGCAGGCGGCATCGAAGAGGTCTATGCTCCTCTGCATGTCCCCTTCAGAGGTGACGTTAAGAGCGCAGTCGTAGACGAAGAGAAGTTCGTGGACGGAAGTTGCGGATACACGAGACTGGAAGTGCATCCGCCGGTGGTTGGGGAGTTGGCCTTCCGTCCTGTAGGCAACACAGATCCGAGGGCGCTCGATAGGCGTCCATTTTAATGGCAGAGAGCAGGAGGCTAAAGAGGGTAGGCACAAGGACGCAGCCCCGCTTCACTCCGTTAGTCACTGCAAATTTCCCTGGAACGACTCTATTGTCCGTGACGCCCGTCGCCATGCCATCGTGGAGCTGACGCACCATCTGAGTAAATTACTCGGGACAGACGAATTCCTGCATGATTTTCCACATTCCTTCGCGATTAACCGTGTCGAAGGCTTTCGTCAGATCCATGAAGGTATATGAGAGGTGGTTGCGCACCTCCCGACACTTCTCCTGCAGTTGGCTTTCCGGTAGGAGGTTTTGTTCCAGATGGTTTTTTAGACGGTTGAAAAAGATACGAGCGAAGATTTTCCCGGCGAAGTTCAGCAGGAGGATACGTCGGCGGTTTTCGCAGAATTGACGGTTCCCATTCCACTTGTAGAGGTGGACGATTGTGGCGTCTTTGAAATCCTGGTGGACTTGTCTTTGACACCACATCTTCTGGAAGAACGCCGTCTGGTGTTCCGTAAATCCAGGGCCACCGTGTTTGTAGATCTCAGCAGGGATTGCGTCCGATCGGGGTAGTTTCCCGCCCACACACATGCACACGAGGCTGTCTGCGAGGTCGGAGTTAAGTCGTTGATTAGCAACCCTCCAGGCAACGGTTTTTGGCGCACCGCGATGGTCTCAACGCGTTAGATTGTTTTAGTGAGGAAATTACGTTAAGAGTCTACCTCCTTCTCTCTTCCCTTTCCCGTGCATCAGTCGGCCGTCCGATCCGGTCAACGAAATAATACTGCTATTGGCAGAGGCTGCCAACAAGGCTGAGAACAGTCCGTCTACGCTTACCGCTCACACGCCCCAGTCCCCCGCACATTACGCCAAGATTTCACATGAAGAGTGCGGTCTCTTGGGGTCTTACATGTAACAGGGGGGCTACATACAGGATCCGAGATACACACTTCCCACCTACGTGAGAGGTGCCTTAGAAAACACGGGTATGACATGGAGGAAGAGCGAAAACTGAAGATATTTGATCACCACTGCTTGAGGACCATCCTTCAAATGAAGTACACCGACTTCGTCTCAAATTAGACAGTCCGCGCTCGCTGCGACAACATCGCAAAGACAACTGAGGCCATCCAAGAAAAACGACTGAGGTGGTTTGTACATGTTCTTCGTCGTCCACCTCAGGAGCTCAGTCCTACTGCCCTCGATCCAGCACCGTTGCCCCACTGGAGGCGTCAAAGAGGGGGTCAGCTCAAAACCTGGCTCGACACAGTTTGACAACACATGGAGGTAATTCCTTGACCTTCGATATTCGGTCTACGTCGTTAGCGGAGAGAATGGCTTGATCTGTCCAGATTTGCTGCCGCGGATCGTCACGCTTGGACATCACCGAGGCCGGCTAGATCAGACATGATCGCAGTCGTATCAAGCAAGCGTATAGCACGCGTTAGACCGAAGTTTCACGTCTCGTCATTTGCAATGTCAAACCGAACTCGGCCGTACCTCTAGTAAATTTTGGGAGACAAAAGGATGGGGCCGATCGGGCATGCGCTCCCCCCGTACTATCCTTTCCTCATTTTCTCAAATCCGTTGAACTTTTAAATTATCATGACACGCAAAGCAGAGGGTTTTTGAAAACGGTGTAACCCAATCCCTCTCCAGATGGCAGATGGTGCTGCAGTTGCTCCTTCTTAATATGACTTTTCTAGCGCCCTGCCTTTTCTAAAAAAAAATCGGAGCATTTGTGGCTCATTTCGTGTACGTGACATGCGTGGATGTGGGTTTTGTCACGTCAGCCACTCTGCAAACGCCTTTTTCTAGACGTCTTGATCTGGTCTTTCTAGTGAAACAGTGAATGTGACAAAAGACACGTAGGCAGGTATGGCAAAACTCTCTTGATGTAAATCATTGCTAATTTCCCAGTCACTACCCTCGTTAATGACGATGGACGGTCTGCCATATTCGCTTACCCTACTCGCCAGTCTAATTTGCGTCCTCTTACCTACATTTACTCGGATTAATAGCGTCACACTTAACCGATCAGTGCCATACTCTACCTATGCAGGAACCTAGTATTCGTAGCTTATTTGCGACAAGGTGGCGAGTCTGTCACAGTCTTAATGACTTAGACCTTATTTTTTGTTTAGGACCTGCTTTTTAATATAGTGTCGCGTTTTTGACAGTTCTGCTTTCAGGGCCTCATGCATAAAATTAGCAGGTTTTGGGGTGGATTTCGTTCGACATTGCCTGGTCGGGGGGAGCGTACCAGTCGACATCGTGTATACTGTGTCAGAGTAAACTAATTTAAAGTACAACGGAAGGTCTTATTTGAAAACTATCAGTTGCTGCGCCAACTCTGGGTTTTTTGATGAGCAGTTTTCAAGCAGCAATGTGTATGTACACTACACTGTCAGTTGCAGTGCTTTCAGGCATTTCGCCAAGACACTCATGTTTTTCAACAGCAATCATCATTTAGTGTCCGGAATTCATACAGTGTTTCGCACCACGCGAAACAGTCATTTGAAACAGCCGTATTCAGTTGTGTCATGATGGTTATTGTGAAAAGTACTTTTCAGCTTTTGGAATTAGTTCCAATCAGCCCGCTTTCTCACTTTTATCCAGGGTTAATGGTTCGGTTAACTTTGTTAACAAGATGTGGGAAATCAATGATAGAACATTCGAAAAATCTTTGATGAAACAAAGCTGAACTGCCCGGATTCCACATTCGCCCCTTGTCACTGATTCAGTATAAAAGGGGCTTACGACTCGGGGCCAAAATACATGGTTTCCTATGGTTAACACTTCCTCCTCGAAATTGCTTCTTGCAGAGGCTCTTAAATGACCATCTGCCTTTGGTTCTGGCATATTCGATTCATACTTTCGGCACAGGACATAAGTCGTAATTAACAGACTTTTTATTAGAATCCTGCTATTTTGCTATTATGACTTCTTGAGAGTTCGCATTTCTTAGGCAGCCGACTCCTGGTATAGCCGTTTATCTAATCTCCTGAACTGAGCCAATTTCCCTGAATTCATTATTTAAAATGCCACGTAGTGAGGGGTTATCGGGGAAGGATGTCCTACCCCTCGTGACCCTGATTTATAATTCTTCAATTTAAGATTCTTCTGTTCGCAAACAAAACGCTGAATTTTGCTTTCTACTCAACAGCAGCCACATGCATAGGGGCATGGCTTACTTGCGTCATGTTTTCTTGTCGGAACGGCGGGCTAATCTCTGGCAAGATACCTCAATTAGAACTTAGCTTCGAGCAAAGCGGTGCTGTTGTCATGGCCTGTCACCAGTTGGGAGTGGGATTTAACTTTCTTAATCAGGCCAGCCCCTTAGGAACCCGGGGCAGTGAGTAATGAGGACTGCGAAAACTCCGATGGTACCACCTTGTGTGCGTCAGCAATGACCAGTAATGCAGTGTGTCGGACGCATAATAACGGATGTTTGGGTCGTTTGTTTGCTGGCGTCGCTAAGGCGACATATTAGCGAATCAGTGGGTGACACATGCTCGCCAACGCAACCTTTTCCGCGTGCTTGCGTCTCTATGAGATTCTGTGTATCTCTGCTCTCTTCACCCAAATGAATGAGTCATCGGCAGGACTCCATTGCATCTCCCAACACTCCTTTGTCAGACTGCAAGAACGCAGGTTTCTTCCGTTTATGACTGCTGCTAGAGTTTTTGCTGACTCTAACGTCTTAAAATTTCCGAAACTTTGTCGCACTAGATGAGTTCTGAATGCTGGAACTGCCAGAATGCCCAACCTATGTGTGTTGGTAGATAAAATTCAGACCGATGTCTTTCGAGTTCAATTGAATCAGTTGTTTGGACGTCCGTGCCTGGAAAGCTGATTCGGTCCGTTAATGGCGTTACATCGAGAATTCAGTGCTCATTTCACTTATCTGAAAACGTTTTAAGGATGTCTAAGCTTCTCCATGTCCAATATATTGGGCTGCTTTAGGCATAATGAGCAATGTCAAATCGCATTTAGAAGTAAGGAAGAAACAACAATTGCACAGCAATTGTGCTGCAGTTCCAGCAAGCAGTGAGCGCGGGCATGTGCTAACAAACCCAAGGCTTGTATCTGTGGTCAGCTGGTAGGAAAGCCTGTCAGTCAGCGCTACCAAACTAATTAATCCCTTAACTTGGGTCGTCGATTCGTAGGTGCTTGGCTTGACTGGTCGTGCTTTGCCCACCCGAAGCGACGAGCATTGCCGTGACGGCCTCCACCAGGTGAAAGACTGACTAGTGGAGGTCTAAAACCTACCTTGTTGCATGTAACCATCATATGTTTGACTTGGTACAACGGCGCCACATGTTCCTACACCTCACGGTCCCCATTTTGCATGCTTACATTATTTTCATATAAGCCTCTTTTTGCCTCTCTCTCATTTTGAAGTAACTGTTTTTGTTAATGCAGCCGGCATTTCTGGCGTTCATCAGCCAGGAAGCCTAGAGAATCAGGTGCTTCTCACGACACTGGCTATCATCGAAGACATGAGCCAACTGGAGGATCTTGTGGAAACAAGGAGACCTGATCTGCTGAAACATATCCTGCCTGGTCTGGCTCGCCTTGCACTCGCACCAGCTTCATCTCCCGAGACCCGTGCTACCTGCGTCAAGGTATTCCGCGGTTTAATACCATTCCCACTCTCTGCTAACTTATTTTAACCTCCTCGTGTTGCCTTTTCACGGTGCGATTTGCAGCCTCGTTGCAGTGTCTTCTGTCTTATAGAAATATCGCAGCTTACCTTTATGGTGTCGAAAGTCTTTCAGTCTCTTCGAATGCAGTGAAGCAACTGCTACCTGCGGCCTTTCGGATTTAATTTTGACTATGCCTTTTAACCTTGTTTTCTATGAAAATGTGCCGCGCATCCTCTTTATTAGCGCTGATGAGTTCTCCATCACAGAATATAAGTAGTGTTGGGCGTGGCAGTACTAAGAGATGTGTGCCACATACTCGGGCTCATTACTAATAGCATCTTCTTTGTACTCACCATCCTTTACGGAGAGAATTTTCATCTAGTCTAGGATTTTTATCCCTGAGTCCATAGTCTCGAGTCTGTGCTTTTTGTCCTTTGTCAGTTTTTTGTTTTTTCTATTAATGCTGAGATATTTGAGGTCATAGCAATCATGGAACTCCTTTTTACTGATGCCATTGGTAAGTAGTCAATCCCAACTTCGCCGACTTCATTCTGCTGCATCGTTTTTACTAAAACTGCAGAGTTAGGCAAAAGGGAAGTTTTGGTGCCGTTACTGGTAAGCTCTGTCTTATCTCTAACCTTTATGACACACTATCGGCTCGGTGAATTTGACACTGACTTATATCACAAATCACGGTGACCATATCGCCTCGCACGGCAGTTAATGGCCACTTCATCCAGATTTGATGGTTTCTTATTCCCATTTCATCGTCTCCAGTGTGCATTTACTTGCCTGTTCCAACTATGTCCTGCCAGATTTCTGCTGTCAACAGGTATCCCTTGTAAACTGTCTTTTTCCTTCTTAAAGTGTCTGTTTTCTTGTTTTGTTTGAGGATAAGCTTTGCAATAACTGCTGACTGACTGTCTTCTGCCCGCAGATCATATTTGATCTGCGAAACAGGTGGCTCGGTGAGTCGGACTCAATGTACACCTCAAACGTCAGCCTGAATATAGGTAGGACGACGCCACGTCCTTATCTGCCCAGCGAAAGCTCCGCTTGCGCGACCCCCTCCCCTCGTGGCAGTGGTCCCCGTTCCCTCTGCGGCTCTACTCGGTCCAGTCGGGTCACTAGCCGTCCGAACAGCCGGCCGACCAGCTTCTACGTAAAAGGCTCCTCCAAGGGTGAGGCTCGACGCTACCGAGTGACACCAACCCAGAAGGGTATTCAGGGTCCCTCTCCGGAGGTTCTGCTTGAGTTGATGGATATCGTTAATAGCCTGACTGTCCCGGAGGTGAGGCCTCTTCTGTCCACCCTATTTCTAATGTACCCTTGGCTCCATCCTTCTGTTTACCCTCCAAGCTGTCTCTTTTTAATCAAGTCAGATTATTACTTGGGGAGCAAAATCGATTTTTAAATCTTAATTGCAATCGTATTTGCTTCTCCCAGACTTTGTCCCTTTTCAACATGCTAAAAGTGGTTCACGTTAAATGTATCTGTAATCTCGAGTTGGACAAAAAGATTGTGAAAAGGTCCCCTCTAAAGGGGTCCTGGTCCGCAATCTACCTCGCGTAAATTGCGAGAAAGGGCGAACAATCTGACTGAGGAATACACTGGTCCGTTTTGGAGATTGTGTGGCTCTTTAGATGACGAATAGGACCTGAACATGTTAACCATTTGTCAGATGTTGAGAGTGAAAGAGGGAAAGGTTATTATAAGTGGATCATGCGTTTTTTGGTTCAACTCAGAAGTTGTTTACTTTGTCCCACACAATTGTTCTTATGGATTTTCTCTGCCCTCTTGTCACTGTGGTTTAACTTGAACAATCATTGTAGCTCACTTTCTTCTGCCACTCGACATTAGTGATTCTTCCATTCATGGAGCTCAGGCTTTGCCTCAAGTACAGGGTCTCTGGTACCCTAATATCATAAGTGTCCGAAGCACCGGTGCCAGAATCCAGGCGCCCATATTCTTCTCGGTCTAGTATGAAATGCCTCAAAAGGTTACCCTTTTTGTCTTATCGGTCTAGTCAAATTTCCTAACTGTCTAAGTAGTCATCACTTCATTATTTTGGCCGTCCTCTAACAGTTTGGGTAACGTACGTTAACTACTACCCTCACAACTTTTATAGATGATCGATGTGCGCTTCTCGGACGTTTCCTAGTTCTGCTCTGGTCCACCAGAGAAAGTTTGCGCGCTGTACATTTTACTAGTTTATATAGGCCTGTCTAGGATTACTTTCTGCACGCAGATTGGTCTTTATTTTTGGCATCTGCAAGCAGTCCAGAGTGCCCATTCAATTCCAGTTCTGGTACTTTGCAATGTTTGCATAGGTAGTATCAGCAAAATTTTAGCTATCCATTAAACAACAAAAAGTCGTTCATTTTGTGCCTCTTCTTGGTAAAGACGCCCTGCTTTGTGCAACATAGTCCGTAGTGCTGACGATTGGAATATGTGTCGGAGCAAACTGTGGGGAATAGACAAATTGCACCAGAAAGATTGGCTACTAGGCGGCATTTAAGCGCCTACCAACTATGCGGATTAATCAGTATTTGGCGTGTCTCCCTTATCACGACAGACCTGCCTTGCGAGTGAAGACGAGAGGGATATCGGTAAATTCGCACGTTGAGTACGTTTAGCTGCAATATCTCAAAGGTAGAGCACATGACTAAATTCGGGGGGATAGGAAATCGGCCACGGTCTATAAAAAGAGGATTGGTCAAATAAATCGATGGTGTATCTCAAAACAGATGTTAGATACCGGAGGCAAGGTTCACAAAAATAAAAAATGACATTGAGTTGCAACTCGAAACAGAGCATTTTTGTGTCTGAAAAATTTAAAGGTTTCTGAGGTCAGGCTCTGAACAGCTGGACAATATTTGGTACGAGACGGGGTCGGATCGAGACTTTTCCTAAGGTGGGAGTGTGGTGGCTTCTCTGTTGAAGTCCGTTCGGACTTTGTAGCAATGAACCTTTTTAGAATTCAGATATTATTCATTACCAATTATCACCCTAATTACCCTTGATCGCCCATGCCACTTTTTCAGACTGAATAAAATGTATTTGACCCTTCCTCTCTCTGTTTTTTGCTATTTTTTTCAAGCCAAGTTGTCAGTAAGGTAAGAATACGGCACTCAGAAGGCGCCATCTGCTACCTAGCATGCATGCACCGTTTAGTCTGTTTTAGAACTTCTTTTGACGAGGCTTTGTGTAACCCAGGAGTGGCAGTTGGGGTTTTGCAATCGGTGCTTCTGGGCTTTTTTATGTAAATCTCTTTAAACCCAATTCTCTTGATTGCTCTAACAAACGCTGCCCTCCTGTGATTTCCGCTTCTTTACCTCATCTTGTTTGAGTGCCTTTTATTTTGGGGGATGGTTTCTTATCTGCTTTCTGTGGCGGGATTTCTTCCTAAGTGTGACGCATGCGTACTGAATATTCCTTAACTTATTACACTTGGGCTTGATGCATACTATCACCGTAGCAATATCTAATGACCTACCAAAATTTTCTGACTTTCGCACTTTCACGGCGAAGCTTTGACGAGTACTTGTTTAAAACAGCAGGTTTGCGACCTTTTAAGTGACTTTCCAGTCCAAAAAGTCCTTCTTAATATACTAAAGTAATTCTTGCTATATTTTTGCTTTCCTGGCTCCTCTAAAACTTGGTTTGGTTGCGACTACGCTAATGTTACCATTAGCTAACAACCTTGCACATCATCATTAAAAGAGCCTCCATAGTGGCCCTGTTGTTGTGGATAATGCTCCTCATTTACTAACTGATAATCACCATCAAACCCCCAGCTTGGACTGTAGATCCCTGCTTCCTTGATAAAGCAGAAACGCCCATTGCCACCCTGTAGTCCGAATGAATCAATGCATGTTGACACCATGCGCCCGTTCCTAAATTACATGATGCGGGCTAGATATTCAGGGGTTGTAGGATTGCCTGATGGGAAATTTAGTCGAATTCAAACCTCAGTAGTTCACCCCGGGGTTTGGGTATCACTGACTAGTGACCGCAAATAAGCCAGGAATAACTGTTCCAATATTCCTGTATTTTTACGGTAACTTTTTCCTTCTATTGATTGCAAGTCTCGAAATATCCGTCACGCAGCCACTGATCGTGTTCCTTGGTTAAACGAAGCGGGTCAATTTTGTCCGCATGTGAGAATTTAGGTGAAACTCCTCCTGGGGATTCTTTCGCTCTACTTTTGACGATTCTGCGTACACGAAGCCAATTTTCGCCAACCTATAGTAGGTGACGTAACCCACGAAATGTTAACTGGAATTATGGATTTGGGTTAGAGAGTATTACTTGGGTTGGGTTACAACATTGTTTATCACATTGCATAATCCCAAGGTATTTTAGTCGCGCCAGCATGCCGACTTGTGAAGGCGCGTCCTTTCGCCCGCCTGCAAAGAAAACTCACTCGTTAAGAAGAATCACATAAACAGTATGGGCTTTTTTCACTTATTATCCGAGCATATTTTATGGAGAACATGCACAGAGATATGCTTTTTATATCCATTTATTTTAAATTACGTCCTTTTTTAAATTTTCTACCCGAAAAAATGTGGTTTTCGGTTCCTAAAGTTTGTAATTATGAGATTCCTTAAACTGTAAAATACGTGTTTCACTAGCACCCCGCTCATCCATTTACGAATTCTGCTTACGAAGTATTCGGCCTGAGCCGTACCCACTACAAAAATTTATGAGCTCTATCCAGGTTTCTTCAACAGCATTGAGGAATGCAGGATTTTTCAGGAATGAAAATTGTCCTTTGTGATTTGCAGACTAAACGCAAGTGCAATGAGGGGTCGTATTCAAAACTTCCGGAATTTAAAAAATTTAAATCTTTCAGATACCTCTTCTTCGAGTAGAAAATGTGGAGAATACGTAGTTTGCTAAAACAGGAGTTCAAGAAAGAATCTTTTTTTGCACTTCTTTTACAAAATAAGTTTTCTAATTACAAGAACATCGAAAACCAATGTAAAAGTCATATTGCTAATGTATTCCCTTTTTAACGATCGAGTTTTTGCAGAGAACCCTAAGAAGGCGCATTCAAAAGCCGGCATCCGGACGTGCCTGGACTCTCATTGGAATTATACTGCACTATAGTCAGTAGTATAACCCCACCCAAGTAATGCCCTATAAGTGAAATCACATTTAAGTATTTCAATCGGCGTTTCTTGAGATTCTATGCAAAGAAACCCAGAATGCCGTATCCTGCCCTGTAACTTCGTTCTGCGGTCACACTGAGTTATAATTTCCTCCCGCTCATGTATATTTCCCTGCCTCAGCTGAACTGCACGCTGGTAAAAACCAAAAAGTTTCGCTGTGTAGTCCTGGCTTTAACACCTTTGAATATTTTTGACATCGCGCACCTAACCCCGCTCTAGTAGTTACATTCAGACTGTATTTACCTGTGGTTTTTATCTGCTTTTCCACGCACAGGCACATCGTCTTCTAGATCCCTGCGAACCCGCCCCTGTGCCCTACTTTCTCCAGCTGATGTTTGACACATTAACCCACCTGTCCTCCGCCTCCTCCGCTCATCCCTCCCCACCACAACGCTCTCCTTGCGCATCCCCCTCCTCGTCGCCGACCCGGTTCTCTGTAAATAAATTTGTGCAAAAGTGGACTGCTTCTGGCCTCAGCAGTTCCCTTCTAGATCTCCTCACCCAGGCATTGAGTTCTTCACGTGTTGGTGATCAACCATCTACGTCTCCTGAAGCGTCTGCACGTTTTCCACGCCCGACTATCTCCCCCACGGTCACACCTGTGTCCGGTCTCTGTCTCCTCGCAGTCCGCCTATTTACTGCCCTCGTCCGCTTTCCCCGACACGTCAACCTCCTGTCATTGATCTCTCCTCCTCCTGATGATGATGATGCATTCCCCAGTCTGATTCAAGTTACAAGCAAACTAACTGTTACTCTGGGCGGACTCATTCTTCGTCGTGCGGTGAGTTGAGGCCTTCAACTATGTCTAATACGCTTCATCCGGATTTTTGGCTACTTAATGAGCTGTTGATAATGAAAAAGGGGCCCCTAGGAAATTCTGGTTTGGCTGGGCGCTGAGTGGTGAGGGAGAGGGGGGCGGCAGTCACATAAAGATGATAGCCGATCATATTGGCAGGTAGCCTACTTATATTCGCCGAGGATTCAGCGTGGTGGGAGCGTAAACGCCCGTAAGAACATGTAGGAATTTCCACATCCCTTGTTCGTGTATCTAGTTATCTTCATGAGTTACGGGTTTAATGAGATACAGGAACTATTACTTGGTGGTTCGTCCATCGTAGGCAACAAAGATCATCACTGTTCCAGGAGGGACGCAATTCGTTTATAAAAGTCAATTTTCACAGCATTCACCTCGCTCTCTGATACTCACCATATTCCAAAGGTAAGACAAACTAAGGACGACCAGATATGAGCATGATGAAGCTTAGATGCGCCTATGTGCGGTGCACATCATCTGGCCCCTAAATCCACACGAACCGGTTTCTTAGAAGAGATGAGCTTGGATCCTGCACGTCTGTTAATACTTAGGGAACCAAGGTATTTCGTCAGTTGGGAACCTTCGAGTCATAACTATAATCGTGTATTGACTGTTAGCATCACGGCGTTCACCCCTCGGGTAGGGCGCTACATAAAAAGTGTGACTTATGCCACCTTCACTCAGCTGTCCTTCTGTGGAGCGAGTCTCAATCAGTGAGAGGATGTTCTTATTATAACGATCTGGTCCTCGGGCGACCAGTATTGTTCCCTTCTCTCCTGCGGTGGTCAAAAGGTTACTTTAAGAAAACGGACATTCGCGGTTTACGCGTGAGCAAATTAACTCTGACAGGAAGGGTGGCCAGTCGGGATTGTTACTTTCACCGCGTGTTTTGCGTTCACGAGCAACGGTAAGCTGGCGGACGGTGTAATTGCCAGAAATTGCTTAGGGCACCTTTTCTGGCCCATCACTTCCCCAAATAGGACTGATAAAATATCCCACGCAACAGCCGAGCTCCACCATGGGTCGCGGCCTTAGCATAGTAGAAGGACCATCTGAATTAGCCTGGTCCTCGCGCAACATTGAGTGTAGCCCTTTCAACATAACTTTTCTCGTTGAATTACGGGATGGTAGAGCTATATGGTCTAATCTACTGCGCCACATCCTTGGTCTGAGTGCGCCACAGCTTGGCTGGTCCCTTCCACCGATTGAACCCTACTTCACCTCTTCATTTTGTGGTGAAATACCCACTGGCTACCCTTCTAGCTTGCCACTATCTTGAGCGGAGGACCCAGAATCCTTCATTTTACTCTAAGCAACATCAGTCCTGTGAACAATGTCCCGGCGGTTAATGCGTTTCAACATTTATGTTTCGCCCATGCAAACCTTCTCCGTATGGACAGCATCGTTGCGACCCAAAGATCTCATGCCCAAGGACCTACAGAGCAAAGTTGTTCCTCGCATCTCTAGTGCGGCTGTGATGGTACATGTTAGCTAAGCATGATGTGCACCTCGCCTTTGCTTAAATGAACATAATCTGACCATCTGAACTCACGAAAAAATTACATTGCATGCTTTTATGCACATATTCGTGAGACAGACATCACTTCAAATAATAAGCTTTCTGGCCTATTGTGACAGACCCCGTTCATAAGCTCACAGTATTTTCTCAAGGTCGGACTCCGGTGTACACAAGATGACTTGGGATATTCCGCGGACCTACGAGCACATCGCATCCACCACCCGCCCCTTCACCCCTCAAAAAAGATAACAGATTCATGACGGCAAAACTCGACCGCGTTTCCTCACGAGTTCACAACCATGCATTTCACACCCCGGAAGTTTTCTGTCCTTGCATTCGCAGCGTGTATCTGTTGTTTTTGGGATCCCCTCTCCCTCCTTCGAATTCGAGAACATTTCTGAGGACAGGCTCGCAAAAGGTCGAGTGAGAGTTCGAACTTTCGAAGTGCTGCTTATTCTTTTAACATCGGCTCGGAATATGCACCAGCGCTAATTCAAGGTGGGGATTTAGCGTCTAAGGTTTTTTTTCCTTTCTGCGGAAGACCAGGTGTATACAATGCTAGCCGCATTTAAATGCATATAGCACACGTAGTATAAAAGCGCCAAAACGTAGTCATCAGTCGATGTCGCTCGTCAAAGATAGTTTCCGTTTTATTTTTAGAAAAACACCAGAAGGTGTAAACCCTATCATGAAATAGTTGTTCTGGCAATCTCTTGCATCGACTGCAAATTCCCTCGAAAAAAGGCCTGAATTGTCAAAACCGTCCTCACTGAATGCTCTGCATAACCAGGCTTGGTCGTCACAATTGAAGGAATTAATGTCTACTTGGTTGAATAAAGTAGATAATTTTTCTTCCTTGTTTGTGAGGAAAAACTGTTTTCGAGCAGTCCCACTTAGTAACACCCATAGCGCTTTAGGCATCCCGCATATTTGGCATAAAGCCCGAGAGTGGTTCTTTGGTGCATTCACACCTTTGCACAGCTCTTGGCTCCTTTCAACCGTCATTCCGCCAAGTCCTTAATATCTTACTGCCTTTGGCATTTAGCGTCGGGAACCCAGTGCGCCGTCCACCTCCACTGCATCTACCTCCTCTGCTAAGATTCGTGGCACCCTGCCCGTGCTTCGGGTCTCTTCCAGCACTCCAGGCATGAGTCAGCTGTTAGCAACCTTGGAGCTCGTAAATGCACAGCTCAACTTCATCGCCGACGTTGTTCGCTACGCACTGACCTGTCGCCAGCAAAGGGCAGTTGATGGTTGCACTGTCAGCCAGGAGCCCCCTAACACTGCGCGCAGTCATTGCAACCAACCCACCGCCGAGGAACTTGCCACCGTTATAGAGTGCTTGCCTTCAGATTTGGACAGTATCTGTATTGTGGCCGAACAGGTGAGAAACCGATGTCTTTTTCTGCGTACCCCGAATTTTCGTCAATCTCACTTAAATTTAGCCCGGAGTCCTTATTTATGGGGCGTAGCTGAAGGCCCTACTCCATAAACCAAGATATTGCACATTAAGGAAACTTAAAAATATGAGTGTTGGTCTAGAAAAAAGAATTCATTTGGGAATTTAATTTCAGCTTAGAATATGTCAGAGATGACGGGAGTGTCATAATGAGCTATCACGCACACATGTCAAATCACAGGTCTGATTCACGTTCTATATCAAACTACCTAATGTGTTTGAGGCGGCTGTAATCAACTGAAGGTCTTGTCCTTTCGAAATTAATATCTTTCTAGCAATTCTTCACTGAGCCTATACAGTTGTATGGTCAAGCACTGATAAAAAATCACAAACTTACGAGGTTGAATTAATCGTGCTTATTGGGTATTGGAGAATGCTTCAGTTAGGATGTGTGAAACTAATCCAATTTCGCAAAGCTGTTTAGCCCGTACGCTGACACAAAAGGCTGTTACACTGTTATGTAACTGCCAAGCGATACTACGGAGGCATACTGAGACCTTCACCCATATGTTTTGGTCCTCCCTAATAAGATTGAGACAGAGGGTTAGCAGGTCCTGTGGTCCGATTTGAACGCCCGAGCAACAGATTTTTGAAATATTAAATCGCAGGCCACTAAATTAAAAAGACAAGAGCATACGAGTGCGACAAAAACCGCCTTATGACTGGCCACCCTCGCTGCAGTTGCCCGTTATATCAAAGTTCGTTCTGTGCCTTAATCGTTCTCGTTGGATAACTTCTTAATTACAGTAGGGGCATCTACACAAGAACACAGAACTGTTTTCAAACAACACTGCCTTCTTCAGTTATAAAAGCCGGGATATTGCTAAGTTGAAAGGTAGCGTGTGTTGCAAGGGCCGGTGGAGAGCGACTGAATCCTTGGTACAACACGTGGGTCTGTTAGGGATTGTCAAGCAGCCGTTGAAAAAGTTCCTTGCAAACAATATTTCCCCAAATCGGCCAGCCCCATTATTGCTGTAAACTCCATTTTCCAAATTTGGTTTCATGTGCATCTACAGAAATGCAGACCTGATTATAAAAAATTGGTGGACCGAAGATTTGCAGCTCCCAGGAATTCGACAAAACCGATTAATATCACTTTGTCTAGGCGCCAGAAGGGTCTTTTTATTTACATAATTCTTCCTTTCGGCTGCACTGGTTTCCGATTCATAGCTGTCTGTGGTGCCTACTAAACCATCCGTATCAAACTACCTTTCGTGAATAATTCGCGCGCATAGGTAACTGGAGTTTTATCTTTTGTTACCACCTAGACTACTAATAAGGCATCACATTGTTCTTTTTTTAAATTTCAGTTGCTTGTTGCCGCTCGTCCCCCTCCGCACCTGCCTGGCATTCTGGCTTCCTTTCTCGAGGCTTCTACAGAGACAGTGGGAATCTCGAATGGCTCGGAGGCCATGGGTTCTGATTCTGACCAGCGCCCCTCGGAGGACGAGTGGTCTGAGGAGCGTGATGAGACCATCGCCATGCGTCTCGTTGAGGC